AGAAAGTGTCGAAAGTTAACATAAGGTTCTCGAGAATTTTAACTTTATTTTTTTAAAATATAAGAGAAGTAGGTTTAATGAACATGTTTACTAGTTTTCCAAGGTTATGTTAGTAAATAATATACGAGAGCTTTTATTTACTCTGTAAAAAAAATCTCTCATATAGAAATACAGAAATTTCTCTCAGACCTAATAATGAAATTAAATGAACCGCATTTTCATTTACTCGTAGTTTATGAAATTATAATACACCGATTGATCAAAATATTTATAATTTTACAATGCATATATCAACGATTAAACACAAATAGTATCGAATCCATATTAAAGAATAATTTTTGAGTGTTTATGTTATTATAATGTTTTTGAGTGCATTCTTTTACAAATCGTACTTTATATATTGTGTAGTACGATCTTTTTTTCCAAAATATTTTATCCTCATGTTAACATAATAACTATTGGGTGTGGTAGGTTTTCGTCGAATGTTGAATAATTGTCTTATTTAAGTTATAAACATCGATTTTTTTTATAACATGCGAATCTAGCGATTGTAAAAACCGCCTTTCTCTTTTGCCAATTATTTATTTCGCTTTTATTTTTTTGTGATCATCAAACTTTATTAATAATTATTTCGAGTCTATTGAGTCGAATATCAAGATAGACACTATACGTACAACTTGTTAAAAGCATTAAAATCGTATTATCGTAATCGTCGACGACGTACTGGATAATCGAGGAGAAAATCTGGACTCGCACTAGCGCAGACACCTACTTCGATCGACTTGACAAAACTCGACTGGTTGTTACAACCGAGTATTTTATACCATATTATCTATGTATATAACATACACGTATGTATAGCCTGAAGCACCACGAAAGTGGTTGTTAAAGACTACTAAAGACTAACTAAAGACTACAACACCAACACACTGGTCACATCACACGCGAAAGAAAATATGATGTGTAATACCCGTATGTGTACGTGAAGTGATTTTGACGTTCGGAGATTTTACGAAACGTGTTAGTTGTCGGAAAACGCGTTCGGTGTAAGATTTATAAGAAATCGTCACGCGCGCAGCATAAAAATAATAATCGTCACATGTACTAATATTATTATTATTATTATTATTATTATTATTATTTTAACATGCACACATTTGTGTGTATACGAATTCAATAGAAACGTACGAAACGATAATTGTAACGACGTGTGTTATATGTTATGTTCGTCTGGACTAGGGGTCGGCAACTGGCCGTAAGCAATTCTCTGGACCCTGTCAACTTTTATTTTCATACTTCTGATATTGTAATTTTTAATATAAATCAGTTGTAATAATCAAATAATTATTTTTACTTCTATACTGCTATTTTTAGAATATAAGGATTTTAGAAAAGATTTTTTTCACTGGACCTCATTGATTTATTATTTTAAACTTTAGGAATCTAATGTAAATAACTTGCCGACCCCTGGTCTAGACTTTAAACGGAGTAGACACCGGGTACCGGGTGTTTTGGCGATCGTCCACGTACACGCTTGTTGATTAATAAATCTGTCGCCTACATTATCAATGAAGTGGAAGAGTAGAGATTTTAAAAAGTTATTAGAATAAACGCGTTCGAGCTCGATTTCAGATTTCGATTTGTCCAATCTGGGAGAAAATGATTAAAAATTAATGTCAGAATAACAAAATTATTTTATTGTAGTACATATGATTAGACTACTCGCATACGCTACGATGTACCGATAGTATACAATACACATTGCAAAACGGAAATATTATTTCCTAAAGAAAAAAAAAAATCAAATTATATACAATAAAAATTAAATTTGAACGTCCTACCCCGTCAGTCAAAGGCGAGACAATGATGAAAACTGGATCTACAAAAATACGATCTAAGACATTTAGGTATAGAAGTTCAGGCGTAGCTGTTTGGACGTTATTGAGGAATTTAAACGTCGAAAAAATAAAAATAACATTGTACCATTTATCGTTAATCACAATTATTATCACCTGTCTATACACTTTATAGCAATAGTTAATATTTAGATAGTTCCATTTCAATATTTTACTATCATATATTTTAATTATACGACAATATTAACGGTATAAAACTATTTTTAACTTTTTCGGCGTCCCAATATCTCTAAATTTTTATATTCAAATGGCCATATCGAAACGTCCTTATTTTATTGTCTACATATTATATTATGATCTGTCACACACCATTATGTGTACAATTGTGCACTAACTAATCATGCGTTTTTCCATTTTTCTTATTTTGTTACTTTATACTTGATCGAACGTTTTCCTGTAGCAAAACCAAAATCAAGCGCATTTTACGTATCTTTAGTAAAAAAATTAGATAATAAATGATATTCAAAAGTTAATGATAACTGTCCGACGCACACCGCATTCATGACTTCGACTGCAATAGGTTTCATAGTTGATTTGACTATATGATAATCAATGACTCACCGGCGGTCCCCGGTAAACTCAAGCGCCATTTTACCAATTAAAAATTTGGTGGAATGATATTTTTTTAACCTTTAATTTTATTAATTTCCAAATTAACCACCTTCGCTGTCACGTCTTCGTCTGTTTATTATTTTTATTACTAGTTTAGTCGTCAAATTTACTTCTTGTGCAAACTGTTACGAACCGATTGTAAATATTCATTCGAAGAAAAAAATAATGTAAATTATACAATAGTTTCGTGTTGACAATAGATCGCCCGAATTTGGCTGCGCGCGTTCTACGGTATTATGATAATATTATTGACCGCGAAAATCGGTGCCCACCGGTGCTATTGTTATTTTATATCCATCTCCGTCGCGCGCACATAATGTTAATATCGTGCACTCATCATGTGCCGCAGTGCCGTCGAACACACGCGATCCGAAGTACACTTGCCGTCCCAGTGCAACTACGCATTCCGCGAACGCCGCCTTGTGCTTCGCTCGCCGATCGGTGCGCGGAACCGTGCGCACGCAATCGCCACCGGTTCCGATTTCGGTGACATCAGCGATCGTCGTGCCTTCGTCAGAACCGCGGAATACTATTAGAACCCCGACAACGCGTACGCATAAACCCAACCGTAGTGAGTATGTACACAAATTGTTTTATGTAGGTAATACGACCCTGTGCGCATAGATTACATAATCCTACCGAGTACATGTGCGCACATCGTCCTAACGGTAATCGTCTACGATCCTGTAACGCACACGTGTTTTACATAGGTTTTTTTTTTTTAAATTTTCTCTTCTCGTTCCCCGTAATATCTTCTTCCGTCCACTCATCCCGTCTCTCCTGCTCATCGTCCGACCGCAGCAACGGTTTGAATGACTACGGAACATCGTAATCACACATCGTACGCTCGACGACGGTTAGTTAGCGGGTGGCCGGTGCGTGTCATTGAGGTCCGGCGACGTTAGAGGCATACGCAAACAATATCTACATATATGTACCGTGATGCAGGTCGTCCCGCATAGCCTTGTGGCATTGTTTCGGCCCCGGTACTGGTAGCGGCGGACGCGACGTCCTATTATGGCGCGTTACGACGCGAAACCGCACGTGCAACCGTCGTCCTGTACGCCACGTACGCGCGTGCATCGCGCGTTGCACATGTTGCACAAGTGTACGCGTACGTACACGTGGCGGCGCAGCGTACGGTACGAGAGAGGAAATCGTTTTGAAACGTATAATACATATTACCTATGAATAAAATTAAGTATTTCATATAAAACTTTTTCTTACTTTTTATGTAGCAAATGCTTCTAAGGTTTTATTTTAAATACAGCGATAACAATAAATATTCTCATTTCCCATATACGCGAATCTGGCCATGTGCCTACAATTACTATGCCCATGGTAGGCGGGTGTCGGACTCCAACGCACGTTAGTTGAAACGAGAAACAAATAAAAATAAAAATATTCATGTACGTACTATAAAAAGTACAAATTACCATTCAACATAATTTTAAGTCGAAAAGATTATGGGCTCATTTTATACGTGGCCCTTGCCTGCCCTTAATCCAAACTTGTATATATGCATCAAGGTTGCAGCGTTAAATTTTCAAGTCGACACAGAAAAGATAATGAAGGTTGTTTTTTATAAAAATTTGCTGTACCGTCTTTTCAACTCTGTTAGGCCGAAAATGAATGCCCTTGGAAAAAAATTAGCCAAACTGGATTAAAAACGAACATTGCACATTGAATACAACAAACGCTCAAGTTTTCATCAAATAAATACTCTTGTACGTATTAACTATAAGCACTATAACCACTGTAAGCATGGGTGGATCAAGTGAGGACATTGGGGGTAAGTTGAAAAAAAATAATATTAAAAATAAAATATATTCATAAGAACTAAATAATATATTTTAAAAATAAATGTAGATAGTTGTCGTACGGCCAGATAATTTTTTTTTTGAGGGAGGGGAGTGGTCTACGCCCCCCGTCAAGACACCCCTACACGTGCTTAGTTGTAGTAAATTCTCCTTCGAAACGTCCCGACCGTGAGTAGGTGCTGAATCCGCCATCGGTAGTACGTCGCATTGTTGAAGTTAAGAGTAGGTACGCAATATGCATCGAACCGTACACTGAAATCCATTCGCCTTTCGAACGATACGAAGTCGTTTCCGAACGTGCAGTACCGGCGTATTCGGTGATCGAAACTCGGTTAGTAAACTTCAAAACTCCGTTTTACTACGAAAGCTAATTTTCGAGGCGCAAAATATTGACGACGAAAAAAACGACACCCTGACCGATTGTTGTGCACAACTCGACCGAAATCGAATCGGCACCGCAACAGTGACCTCACGTGCGCGTACAATACATTGCGTAACGTGCACGTACGATGACTGCACACCGCGATACAGTTCATTACGCAATTCAACAAGATACATTAATGTATACACCGTGCTACGATTACGCGGTGCAACGGTAATTTAACAGCGTTCTAATGTTGTTTACAGTGCGCACGCACTCACGAGATACTCGTCGTCGTCGTCACCGTACCGTCGTGGGAGAGTAGCCGCCGCCGCGGCCACCACCGCGGGTTCACGCGCAGCATCAACCGCGTGGTGGCCGACTACATCGGCGGCGTCTCTCTCCAATAGCTCGTCGCGTACCGTGGACGTCGGACGCTCGTCGATCTCGTCCCGTAACACGTCGGTCGTGCGGAAAACACGCGCGCCGAACGCACGTTTAGTTCTTTGCGACGACCGTACCGTCCGACCGGTTCCGTTCGTGTTTGTTTTGTTCGGCCTACTCGTCTACGCGCCAGCTCGGGAGTGTCACTCCTACGCCGCCACTGTCATCGTCATCTCTTGGTAACATTTTATCGTCGTCCTCGGCCGTCAGGTAATTTTTCTTCGTTCTACGGATTCCGATCCGTATGTGCTGTCGTATCGTTTACGAGCTCTTATAACCCGTGTATACGTGAAATTAAAAATGTCGTGATGAAAACCGTGTGATCCGTAGTTCACGTAATTCACGACGTTCTCAAGTGCTTTTCGAACCGTGGGTCGTGAACTGACTCTCGGCGTGTCGCTCACGATTTTCAAACCATGTACAAATCATGATTATAGCAATGTAAATGACAATCACCCGGTGACCGTCGTACCCGTCCTATGTACCAACGGATTTCATATTTTTCGCAGGTTTCATTAGATTTTCATTGGGTGTAGGGGGGGGGAGAATTGGCTAGTGGTGCTACAGAGATTTAGAAGCATTAGTGCTAGCATATGCGTGAGTTGAACTTTCTTTTTTTTTTTTTAATTTTTCGATTTTCATCGAAACACGAGGTAAAAAAGCGCCACCCAAATAATGTACGACACAAAAACGGGTGCGGTACCAAGTCTGTGCGGGCGGGTTTTAAAATGCGAATTTCTTTTCTTTTTTTCGATTCATCGCGTCTTGCCGCGGTGTGTAGGGGTACACCAACATCGTTTACTTCCGGTCTGAGTGCCCACCTCCTTAAATATGCCTAATGGCAATCATCCATATGTGGTACACAACGATTAAGATATTCCGCACGCTCAACAAAAAATAATCCATTAAGTAATGTATAGTTTATTGACATTTAAGGGGAGGGGAAGATAAATAGATCTACATCTACTTTGTTACGAGGGGGCGATGTCATGGTCATCGACAAAGGGTTGATAATATCACAAATATACTACAATGGAACGTATACCTGTTGGTTATCCATCGATGTTTTTATACGTTTACGTAAATGTATACGTCACATAATATTACCGGTACGAATTATTTATGTGTTCCCAATTTCGTTTGCAGGATATAAGTACGATAACTCGTGGACTCGTATACTTGCTGTGTATTATATATGTAACGGTTGCGAAAACATCGGACGGGTGCCGGTATAATACCCCCGAATGGAAGTAATATACGTAGTACCCCGTGCAAACATTTAAATAATAACACACAGCTAAATTTTTGTATAAAAACTACTTTATTTATGTTTTACATAATTAAAACTCAATGAATATTACTGTGTTAGTCAGATTTAAGTTTTTTTGAATTATACCATCAAAATAGATAAGCTAATGCATGACAATTATTATCAATAACTAATCATTGGGTTACGCCCTATCCCCATAGGGATTTTTATCCGAAATAAACATGGATGTTAAATTACGTCGACGTAATGTTCAGTTGTAAAATGAAGGTTAGATACAATACATTTAATATCGTTAAAATATGATGTTCCTACTTCGTTTAACAGAGGCAATGGTTAATATTCTTCTAAAAATGTTGTTATACGATGTTCTATGTCCTTAATATTACAAAATATTAATAAAATTCTTCAAAAAAATTATATTAATTAAAAAATTTGATTTGAAATATTAAATTATTTTATTACATTATATTAAAATATTAGTATAATATTATATTAAGGTTCACTGAATAAGTGACGAACCCGGTAAACTGAAAAATGAAAACATAATCATTTATTTTGTTTAGTTCTAAATTCCTATAATAACTTAATGCCTTATATGCTTAGTTATAATTTTTTTATTCGAATAACCCAGAAAAGTACAAAAATTATTTTCTAAGTTTATATTTTATTTTTTGATTAATTAACATAATTATGATGTTCCTACAAGGAGATGTATAAATATAATGATATAATGATTTTCTTCGAAAGAATATTTATAAATATTTTAAAATTGTATGTATATTCTCAAATATTTTCTAATGTCTATTATAGGATTTTTATACGAAAAATGTAAAATCATAAAAATCCGACATGTATGTTACTAATATACTTTATATCATTACCTAAACGGTAAAATCACTGTACTACGTTCAATTTTTAACCTCTTCTGTTAGTTGGTGTAGAGGTAGACATAATAATATTAATTCTCTCTAAATACATTATCGAACACAACTCGTTTTGATCGAGTGTATAATTACGAAATGTATATTTTTATTTTCTGAACAATATTATGTTTGTTAATAGATTACTTTACGCATATATTACTGCTGCATACGTGTCTTTGGAAAAATATATTAGGCATTTAAAACCACGCTGTACTCTAATATGCAAATAAATTTGGATATTCAACACGTTTATCTAATTCTCGTCCGCACACCGTTTAGTAGCTTTAAGCCACTTAATACGATTATTAAGTAAGTATGTATAGTTACTATGCATATACATTAGAAAATAGTTGATATACTCTACCAAACCTACGATTATGTATTGTTTCTTATTTAAATTACTTTGGTAGTCGCATATAGTTAATAGATGAAAACAAATCGACTTAGGAGTTACAATAAAATAATAATTTGCGAGATGAATAAAGTTCAACATAGTAATGTAGTTGCTATAATTTTATATAACCTTCAATGTAGTAAACATTCGATAAATCAAAATCAAAATACATTTAGATTTATTTGGTTACAATTTCAAACACCACATTTTTTTATGAGATATTATTGAAATATTTTATATTTTTATAGGTATTATGTTATAAATATGTGTGAGTCAATATCTTAAATAATTGATGAAAATGATGTATGAATTTGAATATTTTTTAAATTTAAATTGTTAATAAAATTGAAAATACGAATATTTTATTCAAAAAACGAAACCCAAGGACAAATAAATTTAAATTATTTAAACTCCAAAATTGCTTTTAAACGAAATACACCTACTCAATCGTTCTAAAATAATAATGTCTATTGTATTATTCTAGTATTATATATATTATATAGTATGTGTTTAAATTATCCATTGGATATTGAATATTGTGAGTTAATGTTAAAAGTATATACCTGCATTGAACTAGAAATTAGATTAATTTTTTTTCTTCGTATCAGGTTTCATACTGGTGACTACGAGTAAGGCTCGTTTCACACTTATACGGTTCGATTCGGTTCGGTGCGTATTCGATTCGTTTTCGGTAGCGTCTAAAAACGAATGAAAACTCTTCACACACACTCGGTTAGTATAAGGTTTGACTTCACGACCGAATCATCGAATATGCAGTCACTTTGATCACAATGCTCACTATGGAGAAAAGACAGATTGCTGCAATGTTATTTCTCTATAGAAGTTACTTGTTTTGTTCTACAGCACTACACGTGATTGGACTGATGAAATCAGCCGATCAATATCAATGTCAAGTGAATCACACGTTGTCAAATGTAAATTAAAAAATTTAAAATAAGAAAATGAAAATGAAATAATATTTCCCTTGCCGTAAACGTGACCGAACCGAAATTAAACCGTGTGTGTAAACGACTAATTGCTTTTGTGAACTCTGGACCCGAATGGAAACCTAACGAAACCGATTCGTGTCGAGGGAGCTTTCGGTTCTATCAGTTTATCTATTAGGTACCGAACACAACACCGTATTACCGTTTCACACTTTTCCGGCGGCTACCGAAAACGAATCGAATACGCGCCGAACCGAATCGAACCGTATAAGTGTGAAATGAGCCTAAGACTAGACTAATTTTTATGACTTGTTTACAATTAAGAGTATATATAGATATATAAAACAATAAAACAAAAAAATATATGTATATAAAATGAGTATGAGCCTGGATGTGGAAAAATTAGCCAATGGATTGTTTGATCCACTGTTGCCTCGGGTACACCACGTAGAAGTTTTTTCCATGTACCCGATTAGATAAATGTTTTTACATTATTTATATTGTTACATTATATTATAGAAATTAATGATTTTAAACCTTATAAATTTATATTTTAAATATATTTGTATAAATACATTCTTATAAAATGTGATTAAATTAATTGCACAGTATTTAGACACTTTTTTTTAATATATTTTTTACGTTTTTATTTTATACTATACAATATTTATGTCATAAGCGAGGATTATGATCACGATAAAAGAAATAATATTTTTTATATCAAAATTTATTTAATCAAATTACTTTTTATATTCGATAAATTCGCTTTATAAATTCATACTATAAACTCATACTACGTATACAAATATACCTTCTTCCTTCTAACATTTTTTTTGTGCCATTCGAACTTATTTTTTCATCCTCAAATACTGTTTTATTGATTTAAAAAGTTCTAGCCACTTATTTTAATACATCAATTTTAAGTAATTACATATGGAGTATATGCGGTTGTAGGCAGTCGAGGTATTAGTTGTATTTATTTATTTTGTGGTGATAATTTTGTTAAACTTTAACACTCTTATTTTAACGCAAATAGAGCAGATCACACAACCGTTAAACATAGTTTGTAAATGCTCAATTTTTATTTTTATCAAAATTCAAATTTACTCTTTTAATCAGTATTTTATCGTAATTTATTTAATGTAGAATCATCGTTACCGAATGTACTTTGTATCTATAACGCCTGTGTGATTGTAAAATATATGTATACTATTATTGAAATTTAGCATATTTAAATTCAAATTTATGGTAATTTTTCATTTGCCTATTATATAAGTTTAACAATTAACCTAATTCATTATAAAACAATAGAGTATTTTTATTTGCCCATTCACGTGACCGTCAAATGGAATGTTTCTTTTCTTATATGCAATTCTTACAAATCCTTCGTGTATAAACTCTATATAGTAGATTATAATATGTGTGTGAGTGTGCGTTATTTTCCTCTAGACTCTAGAGGGATTTCTATACATATGTATATTATGCATTTTTATCTTTATTTCATAATTACCACCAGTATTACATGTGTGTAATCGATGAAAAAATTATAACCACTAAAGTCATATATTTCACCTAATAGCAAATAGCAAATTAAATAGGTATTTATTGTAATTTTTTTTTTTTTTTTTTGCACGTGTTTCAACTACATACGTGACATAATTTCACCAATATTCTAT